AATGCGTAATGGGTTTAGGGTTTAGGGTTTAGGGTTTAGGGAGCGCTTGGTTGGACGTAGTGCAGCGCAGGATGGTGGGCTGGTGTACCGGCTTGACGCACAGGCCAATGTAGGAGAGGGCGAGCTCGTCTGCCTTGCGGTCTTCAGCGTTGGCTGCAGGCTCGGTGTGGATGACCATGTGCCAACACTTCTTGGTGGTGAGGAAGAACTTCATGTTGGCTGCCCATGCTGGGTAGTTGTTCCAGTCAAGGCGCTCGACTGAGATGCCGGAGGTGCCGTCTGTAGTCATTGTGTCAGCCGCTCGTTGCTGGAGGCTGATAGGTGACGGCTGTTAGCGGCAGCGTATGCCTGGGTTGGCAGCTGGTGTGCCGTTGGTGGCTGCCGCAGGTGTGGCCCGCCGTTGGGTGTTGCAGGTGCTTGCCGCAGGGGTGGCAGCTGGTGGTGCCGTTGGTGATGTGTCCGGCGGTGGTGGCCGTCGGTGGTGGCTGACTGGCGACCGCTGACAAAGGGGGAAAGGACGGTGCCCAAGAATAAAAGGGAGCCGGTGCGTGGCACACGGGGCCAGGCACACCGGACGGGGGAGCTGTGTGCCTCACGAGGACAGCACAGCCCTAGGCACCGCCTTTGTGGAAAATGTAGGAGAGGGGGGGAGTATATAGGAAGGGGGGGCAGGCAGGTGTGGGGGGGCAACGGCGCACTACGGCGCTAGTGCACTGCCGTTGTAAGGGCAAGCAAAGCAGCGGCGCACTAGGGCGCTTGGGCGTTGCTGGGTATCACCTTAACTGTTGTCAGGGTAGAGCTACGGCAGATGGGATGGGAGTCAAGCAACGTCAGCGAGAGGGTTGGGAGTGGGGTAACGGGTCTGGTATACAGCCCGGGGACAGGCAGATGCTGTCTCTGCTGCACAAGCGCTGATGTATGCAAGTGCGGGCTGGCTCAAGCAGGTTGGGGCTGGCTCAGCAAGGCTCTCTGAACGGCTGACAGCTGGCGGCTGGCTGCTGATGTGCCAGCAAAGGCTGATGTGCAAGCAAAGGCTGTTGTGCAAGCAAAGCCAGGCGCAGGCGGCGCTTAGGGTTGGTCTTTGGTCTTTGGGGCGGGGAGCAAGG